TGAACTACTGAAAGCAGTGGATCCACAAGTACAAGGCAAAGAGAGTATGAGACACACAAATCAGTTTTTCGGACTGATAACTGGTAGGACTGTGTGCTGTTGAGAAGCAAGCTAATTTCCACTGAGGGGACTGTAAAAACCACGTACCAAAGAAGACAGCATTGAAAGATGGAGATGGAAAGCCTGTGAAAGTAGTTACTCTGTCCCTCAGGCAAACAATCAAAAAACCCCTCCCCCTATGCTGCAGACAACTGGAGGTTTGAACCAGACAGACTTAAGACCAGCAGTGAAAACAAAGAGTTAAGTGAAAGTCTACAAACTTTCACAAGTGTGAGACACTTCCAACCCTTCTCTCCAGCTGCACAAATCCAGAACGCAATATCCTGGTTTACATACATTCTCTATGCCTCAAGGCAGGAAATTACAGGATTGTTGCCTAGAGAAAACCAGCTCAAGAGGAAAGATCTATAAATACTGACAGCTCTGACTCTCAAGAAAATGGCTGGATCTCTGCCCATACATCTAACAGTAAAAGTCCATTGGTTAGTAAGGTTCAGTCATTCATAAAGAGCTTCCACTCAGTTTTCTGGGGGTCTCTCCTCGAAATGACCAAATAGCCAAAGAACAACTGACATTCAAGAAAAGCCTCCAACATGAGAGAAAGAGACCAAGGCAGACAAAGAGAAGAAACTCGGAGAAAAGAAAGGAATACAATGCAAGAAACAGAAATAAGTAAATAAATAAACAAATCCAAACATAAAAGAATGCCAAGGAAAAAAGGATCAAATCAGAAAACAAGAAAGAGCTCTTAAAAAAGAAAATTTACAGCCAAAATAAATGCTTTAATAGAAGGACTGGAAGATAAACCTGAGTAACTCTTTCAGAAAACAAAAGACAGTTAAAAAATAATAATATTAAAAGCTCAAGCTAGAATACTTGATTAACTGAAGTACAAGAATGAGAGAACTCAAAATAGAGAAGAAAGTGAAGCAAAACCTCTGGTCAAGATGTAACCATACACTCTCTTCTAAGAACCCCAACACGGTAAATTTCCTCAAAAATTTTATCAGTTACAGAACAACCTCCATTATTAATTCCAATTTTAGGACACTTATAAAATATGCAAAACCACACTACTATATGGATTTATAGATATAAGATAGTATAAAACAAGCCCAGTCATGAAAAATACCAAATTCATGAGAGGAAGGGTGCAGAGGTACACATGAGGCCTTGAATACAGAATTTTTTTTTTTTAAGGAAAAGAAAAAAAGAATTCTATCAAAAAGTCAAAGCCAAGATTTGTTACATCTGTGTGGTGAATGCACGGGTCTTTTAAAAATTATTCTGTGCGCTTCTCAGTATGGTTAAATATTAAAAAGTGAAATTTCTTCCCATCATATGCCAGATCTGATTAGAGAACAACCAGTTCTGATGAGACGTGAAAGGCCCAGAGCCGAATCCAAACCTGATTCATCGGTGTATCCTACACAGCAAGAAGTACAGAGTAGATGCTAAATATCCACTGAATTACACACCATCCACCTAAAAACACAACACCAACCAGAAATCCCCCAACAACTAAGAACATATTAGCACCCGATATTGACACAGAGATAGGAGAGATATAGAACATGTTCATCCCGGCAGAAAGTTCTCTAACCAGCGCCATACTGGAGCAAAGCTTCCCAATCAACGTGGGGAAACACAAATCCCTCCAGGCCTGGGGCTGAGCAGCGGTGCGTCGGCTGCCCCCACCCCCACCCCCACCCCCCGGCCCCAGGCCGTGAGCAGCCTGGTCCTAGACCTCCCGTAATCTTCCCAAGCTTTGTCACTCAGATTTCAACCAATGTCCGCTCCAGTCGGGATGATGGCTCCCAGTTAAAAGAATAAGAGGCACCGGCGGAGAGTCGGGCCGACCTGGGTTCAAATCCCTGCTGTCACATCCTACCTCTGGGACCTTAGAAGGTTCCCTATTCTACTTGCTCCTCTGTAAAATGGGAATAATAAAAGTGTTTACGTCACAGTATTGCTGTGAGATAAAGTTGGACAGAACAATAGGCCTTTCGTTCAACTTGAAAGTGATGCAAGTAGAGGGCGCTCCACGGGACGGCAGCTATTTGCAGATGATGAGTCTGAGGCTCGGCCGCCTGGAGAGCAAACCGCGACCTGCGACTACGGCCCCGCGGCCAAGTCGGCTCCTTCCGGGATCCCTGATGTTCCTGCCTTCCCCGCCCCCACCCTCACCAGCAACGCCAAAAGAGCGGGGGATTCGGGAGACTCAGCCCCGACAGTTGGGGCCGTCCGGAGCGGCCGAAACTCCTCAGACAGCCGGGTTCCAGGCCGGCCCGCAGCCCATCTTGGGGCGTCCCGGGGCCCGGCGTCCATGGACCCAGCCCAGGAAGTCATCCCGGAGCCAGACGCCCAAGGTCTGGGAAGAGGGAAGCGCCCACCTCACCTGAAGCCGGAAGGACGCGGTCAGACTCGCGAGACCCCCGGAGAAATTGCAGTCTCCTTTGAAGAACTCTCGCCGGACTGGCGCCAACAACCACTTCCGGAGCAGCTCAATCCGCCAGCCTGTGTTGCGGCCTCGGCCTGCTCCTATTGGGCAGCAGTCCCAGTCGGCGGCCAATACCCTCTCTTCTTCTTTCTTTGGTCGCCACTGGCTGAAACAGCGGTGCTCTCATTGGCTGATCCTTCGTAAACGGACTAGGCGGGACCACGCTCGAGGAGGCCTCGTACAATTGGTAAAAACCTACGTCCGTCAACTCTCGCCCAAAGAGAAAAGCGGAAGAAGGGTTTTACCGCTCTTAATTTGAATTTTGTGACGAGAGGAAGCGGCAAGAGAAAGATTTCTTGGTCCATTTTGGAAAGATGAAAATATTAAAACTGTGCCTCATGCTGTTTCTCCCTAAGTCTTTGGTGAAGGAGATGTCTTTATCCAAAGGCTGGTAGCTAATCCAATAATTTCAAAATGTTGCCCGCAGTATCCCGGAGCCGGTAAAGAGGAGTGGGACAATCCTGTTCATATATTGTATATCCTCCAGTGGGTTGAAGAGCTCATGCAAAAGAACTTACCTACGCGGTCTCTTCAATCCCAAACCATTGCAACAAATTGCCTGCTACTAAACTACCGTCACATCACTTGACAGCAAACATTTTTCAAGCATTTCCCTGAAAGACGAAATCTCACCTTTAGGAGGAAGACCTAAAAATCTAAACCTCAGGCACAGACTGCACACTGCCGAATTTCATTTGCTCAGCTTCCAGTTCTGAGTGGAACTAGTAGCAGAGGAGAGTGTAAACAACTGAAAGCCTTGGATTATCCAAGTAATTGACTTCAATATTCTCCTCCTCCAAACCTGTCACTAAAGTGAACATTAGCATTTGTAGTTTTTTTTCCTTTTCCTGCCCCTAAGGGAGCTTCTACTGAGCTATAGCAAGGTTAATATGAGGAAAAGGAATGTTATTTTGTAAACAAATACATATATTATGGCATAGAATGAAAAACATTTTGAGTGAGTCTGTTATATAAGTAGCTGCATGTCCAATGCAGAAAATTTAGACAATACATAGAAGCAAAAAAGAAAAATCGTCTCCAGAGAAGTCATTAGTTACTTTGTTTAAAATCGTCATCTATCTAAACGTGTATATTTAGGTATAGATGGAATTGTGTTTTAATCTCAAAATATATCTTGAATTGCTTTCCTTGTCAATGAATACATAGGCACATCATCAAACACTGAGTGATTCTTTGAAAATTAAAAAAAATTAATAGGTAATATCACATGGCAAAAAAAATCTGGACAACACAGAGGGCTGCTTAGTGAAAAATATACAGAATGTTTCTAAAAGGTTCTGAGAGTATATTCATTCATGATCCACCTAATGGCCATGTTTACTAATTAGAAGAGAAAGAATAAACACACAAGCCAGAAGGTTATAGTCTTGTCTCCAACTTCCAAAAGTTTTATATAGTTAGAGGAGAAAGGTATTGGCTGTATTTCATTTTAGGGGTGAAATTCCCATTTACAACTTTATGGGTGATTACTTAAACACCAACCCCCCGTTGGCCCATTTGTAAAAAGACTGAAAAAAAAATGCACTAAGCGCCACTTCATAGAAGAGTTGTTTAGATGGATGTCTTTTTTTTTCTCCACCAAAAGACATAACTAATGGGTTCCCCTAAACTACATGATAGTAACTACTTTTATGGACCTGAACGTATAATTTAAATGAAAAATTTGAAAGAACTGTCAAAGTTAAAATATGCCAAAGAAAGTTTACACTTGTGGTAAGCCTCATCCCCAGGCTCTGGGGAAAGCCATGAATTTCCCTCTACCATTAGCAGTACCTTCATTCATTCATTTTCAAGTTCATTCGGTCAACAAATATTGGAGTAGCCACTGTCCTACTCCAGGAGAGGAATGTGAAAGCAGGGACTCATACGTGGTTTCTGAGTTTGTGGCAATGTTCTAGTCTTTAACCAGGGGTGGATATGTGATGTTCTTTTCCTCTGACTTAAAAAAAATTGCACATATACATTTTATACACTGCTGTACTGTGATACATATCGCAATAAAGATAAGAAAAACATTATTTTGTATCTTTGAACTCTGTAGCAACTTCAGTGGAAACACTTCCCCAATCCGGGGATACTGCCTGTGAATCATGTTCTCTTGTGTCTGGAGCTTTGTGGAAAGTCTGAGAAATTTGGATCTAGAGTGAGAGAGGGAGACATTCCCAGGGAGGGAGATGGTGTAAAGAAACGGAGGAGCAGCTGATAACCTGGTGAAATAAAAGTCTGAATAGAGGGCTTCCCTGGTGGCACAGTGGTTGAGAGTCTGCCTGCCGATGCAGGGGACGTGGGTTCGTGTCCTGGTCCGGGAAGATCCCACATGCCGCGGAGCAGCTGGGCCCGTGAGCCATGGCCACTGAGCCTGCGCGTCCGGAGCCTGTGCTCCGCAACGGGAGAGGCCACAACAGTGAGAGGCCTGCGTGCCGCAAAAAAAAAAAAAGTCTGAGTAGAGGAAATTACCCCCAGGATGTTGATAAAAGAGTAGGAAGGGAGAGAAAGAATATAGGCTGGAGTAATCTGCCTTCGCAACCCAACTTTAGACTAAACAATGCCCTTAGGGCTGGGTTTCTGAACTCCAGTGCTCTTGATATCTGGGCCGGATAATCTTTGTTGTAGGGGGCTGTCCTGTGCCTTGTAGGATGTTGAGAAGCTTCTATCCACTAGATGCCAATGGCATGTCCACCCCACCCCACCTCCCCTGAGTTGTGACAGCCAAAAATGTCTTTAGACATTGCCAAATGTCCCCCGAAGGGCAAAACAACCCCTGGTTGTGATACATAAGGAAAATCTTTCACAAATGTTAAGTAACACATGTGGCCCATGCTCTTTAGACCAGAAAAAGCCCTACCTTTAACACAGGGCCTCCTGGAGGGCTCATATGCACAGCAATCATCAATGATCTCCTGCAACTGTGAAGGGCAATCTTTATCCACTGGCTCCTGGTGCCGGTCCACAGCCACCAGCTGGTAGATCTTCTTGGAATCACAGCCTGGCATGGAAATGATAGGATGGGATGCTTAAAAATTGCTCTGGCACACACACATCTCTCTGGATGCTGATGGCTGGCAATGGAACCAGGGACTTTGAGAACTGAAGAAACAGGAGCTTCCAATGACCCCAATGACAAGCGCAGGCAATGCCCACATTGAAGAACAAAGCACCCGGGACAGCACTGATGGGAATCTCTAGTCTCTTGGAAGGCGACCCAGTCCCAGCACCATCTGAGCCAACTTTCACACTGGTTACCTTCAAATGGGCTTTTCCCAGGGGTGATTTCCCAGAGGACGATTCCAAAGCTAAAAGAGAACCAAGAAACTGAACAACCGTAACAAGTTTCCCTTTTCCCATGCCCCTCTAGCCATTTCCAGAAAACACAGTGGATTTTCTTTTTGGCTGTGCTGAGCAGCTTGTGGGATCTCAGTTCCCCAATCAGGGATTGAACCTGGGCCACGGCAGTGAAAGCGCAGAGTCCTAACCACTGGACCACAAGAGAAGTCCTCACAGTGAATTTTCTGATTACCACCCAATTCCATTCAACAGAGTTAAGGTGCTCCTCCCTAATGGCATTTGACTTGGACTTTCTTGTCCCGTTCATCTGAGTTAGAATCTGCACAAGAACATAAACATACTTGTATATTTCAGCTTTTATGTCATATTTATTATACACATTTTCCAGTCTCTGAGGTGAGATGTATGCGGCAGAATTGGCTCTCTCTGCTTCTTTCTCTTTAGTTGGTCAGCTGATGGAAATCTGTGTTTTGCTCAACTCAAATCCTGCAAGCTAGATAATGACTCAGAGACAGAAAGAAACAGCACCATCTCAGGTGGGGGATAGAGGGAAGGGGTTGGTGCTACACATGATTTTCAGGGGATGGTTTTTTTCCTTTGGGATGTATTTCCAGTGGTGTCTTCTGGCTCTGTGGCTACTCTCCTGGCTGGCATCCTGGGTTCAATTTATTATGGTGTAACGACCAAGCGAAACACAAAGAGGTTTCTTCTCTATAAAATGTGGCATGAGGATTAATTGAGGTGATGGTTATAAAGCACCTGTAAGACTTGGTATGTTGTTGTTCTAGTGTTACTATGTTAGATACAGGGCTTTCTCAGTTGACGACTCAGCTCCACTGAGTGAGTGTGGACGGGGTGCCTGGAGTCACCAATGGCTCATTTTCTCTCGGAAGCAGACCGAAAAAACACACAAAAAACCAACACAGGGGTATCCTCTCTGTTGTATCTGAACCTATAGGCAGCCTGTTACCCCAATGACCCTGCACGGTCAATGCCATGCTCTTAAAGAAGCCACAGCACAAGTCACGGGAGTGTGCATTCTCCTTGGTCCATGCACATCTGTCATCAGCACCATCTGTGTGCAGAGGGCTGCCAGCCCTAAACGCAGCCAGGGATCCAAAACTAGGGTCAAGGTCAGGAAAAGGATTAGACGTTTAGGTGGCTCCTCCCCCTTTCATTCACATGTTCAGTGAGCACTGACATCCTCTGACATCTGGCTCCACGCTAGCCACCAGGGGTGAAAGGCTGAACAGCACATGTTACAGTCAGGTGTGAGAAGGACCGTGCTTTGTGAACACTTATATTACACCAGCTACGGGGAAAGACATCTGAAAGGCAGAAAAGACCCGTCTTCTGTTATTCAGAGAAAGCTATCTGTGGATGACAGAGAAAATATACTTTTAGCACTTGGGAACTGTGGACATCGAGTTAACAGAACCCTTTTCTCTTCCATAGGAGAACCTGAATTTCAGTGGACCTTTTAGCTCTATTCGCCTGGGAAACTGACAAAAGCTGTCTGTTACCTATGCTCCTAAGTAATATTGCTGCTGATTTAAAAATGATGGGTGATTAGTAACTTGTTTATGGATGAGAGGTCGGGGGGATGGGGACTATAAAGAGCTATTGGGGGACTACCCTGGTGGTCCAGTGGTAAAGAATCCGCCTTCCAATGCAGGGGACGTGGGTTCAATCCCTGGTCGGGGAACTAAGATCCCACATGCCGTGGGGTAACTAAGCTGGCACACCACAACTACTGAGCCTTTGCACCTCAACTAGAAAGCCCATGTGCCACAACTAGAGAGCCCAAACACCGCAACTAGAGAGAAGCCTATGCGCCACAAGGAAGAGCCCGCGTGCCCCAGCGAAAGATCCTGCATGCCTCAACGAAGATCCCGTGTGCCACAACTAAGACCTGATGCACCAAAAAAGTAAAGAAAATAAATAAATAATCTAAGAAAAAGAAAGAATATTGACTCCTGTGAGTCGTGAGGCTTCTAAGCCTGGATGGCCCCGCACCCACCCGAGGGGAGCCTCTTTCTGTCACACCTAGGATGAGGAGAATATCTCCTGGAGGATTGTGGGGACAGGTGTGGCATCTCCGGCTGGAGAGAAGGATTTGATGCTACCCTGCTGGCAAGCTGTGTTGCGTGATACCCTTCTAATTGCCTCCAGGTGCCAAGTGTGGGCTATGGCTGGCCTGTGAGTCTGAATGCCTACCTGGGCTTAAGAAGATCCCCTCATGGGTGTTTCAGGGACACAGAAGTGGTGTCTAGGCATCTAAGGGGAAATGGCTCTTAGCCCATCCCTGCTGAGTGCCTGGGCAGTGGTGGATGACGGGCATCAGAAGAGCAGGCAGGACTGAGTCTGTCCTGTGGTGGGCACATGGGAAGCTGTCCAGGCAGGGGAAGAGTTGAACTCAGTTGAAGGCAGAGAAACGAGCAGGCACAGGCCTCTGGGAAACGTGCGTCCCTCTCCCAGCACCAAACAGTCACACAGGTCGAGCTCAAATGGCCCCTGGAAGGCCATACTCACCTTCACGTTGCAGTCTTTAGTCACCAGGAAGCTCGTGCTGCTGATGTTTCTGTGGAGTTCTGCAGGTGTTTCCAAATGGTGCAGCCTGACACGACCAAAGGCAGGGAACATTAGTGACCTTTGCACAGACTTTGCTATCCACGGGTAGGTGGGAAAACCGGGATGCAGAGGTGAGATTTGACAATTGTGAGCTGTACGCCTCTGTGGTGCTCTGCCTGGGAAGCACTGAGCAAAGCAAAGGGCTCAGAGGCATGGCTGGATGGTTGGACCATACCTAGGACCCTTCTGGTTGAAACAATGTGAAGCTGGGGTTCCCACCAACTTAGTAAGTGTTAAGTGTTTTGGATTAATGGAGCCCCTGCCTCCCAGTTTGGGGTGTTATCACAGAGTTGGCCTTAGGTTGGGTTCTCCCAGAAGCAGATCATGAGCCACAGATATGGGTACAAGTGATTGATTAAGAAGGTATTCCCAGGAGAAACCAGGTGAGGGAGTAGAGGAAGCAGGACAGAGAAGGAGAAGAAATTAAGCAAGGGTGTGACTTCAGGTGAAGTTCCAGGCTCAGCCTGACCCCACGGGGACTTCTAGAGGATAACTACCCCTCAGGGTTTGTTCTGCACGAAGCAAAGGAGCTGGACTTTTGTACTCACACCTGTTGTTCAATGACTGTGGACTGGGTGGGGTTGGGGGAGAGGAACAGGGATAGGGACAGGTGGCTATGAAGCTCCCGGGCACTTTCAGCTCTCAGGGCCGAGGGGCTCCAGTGCCCATGGATATTCCTCTGCAGATGGCGGCCATGAGCTGTTAGCAGCAAAGTATGCTGAGTGGGGGATGAGTGTGCAGAGCAGGGAAAAAGGATCAGAGGCCATCTGGATAGGCGCTAACAGTGTCTCCTACAGTCCAAAATGACTTCTCATAAAACTCACTAGTGTAGGGAGTTGAGAAGGAATAAACTTTATGATTTCCAAGAAAGATCTAAGGCAGTATTTCCAAAAGTATGGATAAGTGGTATGCAAGATGACATAGTGAGAAAATTATTCTTCTTTTAATTCCAGTCTTTCCGATTACGCCAAGAAGAAAGTCTCAGTTTGGTGTTGGATGTCTTTAATACCTCCCTAAATCTGCTGACATCTCCTCTGCACAAAGAGAATGCCGGTCTGAATTGCAGGCCTTTGAGCAGGAGGCATCATGCAGCCAGAATTTAATAACATTGTTTTGGTTTTATTTGTGGTCACCTATTTGTGATAAGTGATTCTCGTCTTCAAGTTATGGTAGTAATAGAAAGTGTCCTTTTTTATTTTATTTTATTTTTTATTTATTTATTTATTTATTTTTTATTTTTTGCTGTACGTGTGCCTCTCACTGTTGTGGCCTCTCCCGTTGCGGATCACAGGCTCTGGACGCGCAGGCTCAGCGGCCATGGCTCACGGGCCCAGCCGCTCCGCTCCGCGGCATGTGGGATCTTCCCGGACCAAGGCACAAACCCGCGTCCCCTGAATCGGCAGGCGGACTCTCAACCACTGCGCCACCAGGGAAGCCCAAATCTAAAATTCTTATCAGGCCTACCAGGACCTGCATGACCTTGCTCCTGTATCTTCTGGCCTACCTCCCCACTTTCATCTGGTATCTCTCCTTCACCTACCACACTAAAGCCATGCTGGCTTCTGGCTGTTCCTTGCACAGGCCATATTTATTCCCACCTCAGGGCTTTTGCATTCATTGTCTTCCTGGCCTGGAATGCGCCTCTCCCTCAACTTCACATGACTCACTCCTTTTGATTATTCAAGGTGTCCATTCAAGTGTCACCCTGGCCACTCTCACTGCACCCACTGTCACCTTCCATCTCATTACCATGTGTACGATTTTTATTGCCTTTAGATAAAATAATTTACTTAGCCCTCTATCTGCAAACTTTATGTTCCGTGAAGGCAAAGATCTTGTGTATTTTGCTCTGTGTTGAATCTCCAGCACTTAGAACAGTGCCTGGCACATGGTACTCAATTCCTGTTTGTTTAGATAATTAGTGAATTTTTCTTCCTGGATAATTTACATATTAATGGAACGTCCTGGAAAAACTAAGGCTGGGAGGATTGACATCAAAGAGAATGGAAAGGGAAACACGACTCATCCATACCACCCCCACCCCGCCACTGGTGGCACACTCAAATCTCACCAGCCCCCACCATGTCTGTACCCAGGGATGTCCGGAGTTCTGAGTTACATGACTAGACACCTGCTAAAACCTCTTCAGCCTTCCTGATTTTTTGGTAAACAAAAATGAGACTAATATACCCCCATTTGGAGTCCCCCCATCTAAAAAAACTCCTTACCACTTCTCAGTCCTTGGATAACCTTCCTGTCTTCCTCTGCATCCTACTGATCTTCCTGTTGCCAGAATGCTCCTGGGCTGATGCTTGAAATATGCATCTGTTGATCCACCTGAAGCAGCAGTGAGAACTCCTCCCAGACATCTCTCAGCCTCTTGTTCACTCCAGTGAACAGTATTCTGTCATGCCCTACTGTTAGAAACTTCTGGATTTACTGCTGAACTTATCTATCCACTCCTTAGCTTCCTCTAGGGCAGCCTGGAAACGTTTCAGGGCAGTGGTTATCTCGGTGGGCAGGTTCCTCTCTCCTTGGGCCTGGAGCATTTGCAGAGGCTGCAGCAGGCCATGGACATGGCTCCTTAGATGTCAGCACTGTTTCTGGCAGTATTTCATCTCTTCACACTGGTTGTAGATAAGCTGGACTAAGGAGATGATCTGCCTCAATTGATCCATATCTGGAAGAAACAGATGGAATTTGTTTAAGTCCCAGGAATCTCCTGCATATTTACTACTGGGCTAAGGGTGTCTGTGATCTAAATGGCTGTAGAGGTCTCCGCATCAATTTCATGTAAGGTAGAGATGGCTTGCTGTCCACCAAAATCTTCCAGTTGTAGCTGGAAAGTGTTGGCCCAGCTAGGACTACATCTCCCAGCCTTCCTTGCACCTTGATGTGGCCATGTGACTAGTTCTCACCAATGGGGTGTGAGTAATATAACTGTTACTTTGGGCTGAGTCAGGTTTGTCTCCTTCACACACTGTCAGCTGGTTACACAGGATGATGTAGCCCTAGGTGTGGTAGAGCCCAAGAAGGGAGAATCCTGGATCCCGGAATCATCACTTGGAGGAGAGCTGCTCATAAACCTGGAATATCTGCCATGGACTAAATTTCTATTGCATTTGAACCATTATATTTTGGGGTCTATTTATTAAATAAATTTAGCCTATTCTAACAAATATATCCTGCCAAAGTATAGGGGTGACTATAGGATAGTAGGTTGAAAAGCTCAGGCCCTTTCCAAATAAGGCAAGGATTACCTAGTAAGTCACCAACTGTTCAAGGATAAAGGGCCCAGTGGTGGAAGATCTAGTTTTTAAAGAGCAATCAGAAATTTGGATTTTTATGTTAAATCTCTCAATTTAAAATATTGCAACCAAGTCAAAAAATGTTTTAAAAACTGTGCAGTCCAACACTGTGTTGATCAAATAAAATATGTTTGTCAACTGGATATTGCCCATGAAGCCTCAGTTTACTACCTTGGCCACAGCCGGCTGAGGATATTCAGGACTGTAATAGAAGTTGGCTTCTGCAGTCTCAAATTTTCTTTTCTCTCTTTTCCCAGTGCTTGAGCAGCCCTGCCTCCCTGGTCCTCACCTCCATCCCTCTCTACTGTGTTTTTAGCACTCTGTGAATTTGTTCCAGCCTCCCCATTGGCCGATGCATCAATAAGCCTTCATGTTGTAAGTGCTGACCCCTCAGAGGCATTTGCACTAAAGACTAAGAGATTTTTCAGGCCCAGAGGAGTTGAGGTAGACATCTGTGTTGCCTACACAGCATCCATTCCTCTACTTCCTATTGTTGCCCCAATCTTCTGTGACTATCTGCTCCTCCTCCATTCAGCAATGTTTGTGGGGAGCTGGCTCCACCCCAGGTTCTAAGGATGAGACTTGTATCTAAGCCAGTGGTTCTAAACTGAAGGTGACGTTGCACACGCCCCCCACTCCCTGCTGGGACTTTTGGCAACGTCTGGAGACATTTTTGGTTGCCACGGCTAGGGGATGGGTGTTGTTGACATCTAGCAGGTAGAGGTCAAGGTGCTACGATGCATAGGATGCCTCCTACCCGGCCCCGCCAACAAAGAATGATCCAGCCCCAAATGTCAATAGTGCAGGGGTTGAGAAACGTTGATCTAAGCCATCAGACAATTCCTAGTAGCTTATCACAGTGATTTGTTCAAAACTGGGCACCTGGGCTACTTTGAGGGGTACGTTTGCTGGGGAACTTCCTGGCTCCCCTAAGCCAGCCCAGTAAGTCAGCTTCTAACTCTCAACCTCTCTCTGAATATGAGTGAGAAAGCATGGAGCCCTGATTCTAAAGCTGTGGAATGAGGCTAACCTACAGATGGCAGAACAGAAAGAAAAGAATGAGTCCTCGGTGACAACATTAAGCCACTGGTGGTTTGAACTGACCCTGAAGTCTACCCCATTCCTCAATTACAGGTTTCATGAACCAATAATCTTCCTTATTGTTTAAGCTCCTTTGAATCGTGTTTGCTGTACTTGCAACCAAAGGCAACTGTGTTCAGTAATGAATGATGATAATAGCGATGATTACTACAGGCTAAGTGCTTTGGAACCACAAGCTCACTGTGGTTATCTGCATTGTATAGGTGAAGATCCTGAGGTAGGGAAAGGTTGCATTTAAATAAGTACAAGTCCACAGAAACGGTTGCCAAAGGACTTTTATTTTGGCAGGCAAGATCTTAGTTCCCCCGCAGTGGGAGTGTGGAGTCTTAACCAATGGACAGACAGGGAAGTCCCTCTAAAATACTTTTAAACAAAGTTAATCTCAACAGTTCTATTCCAAGAAGGTAATTGGTCTGGAGCCCAAATCTGGTTTAAAAGTATGAGTAAGAAACTAGCAGAAGCCAAACCAAATAAGCAACTAATTGATACATTTTTGTTGTTGTCTTAGAGTTATACTGATCTAACAAGAGAAGTAACAGGTATTAGGGCATGCCTAAAAAGACTCAATGGGTCTCAGGCTGCCCAGCTATTCGCAGTTGCTAAGCAGAGAGCTTCAAGGCCATTTCTTGGGACTCTTGAGGGCAATGAACTATATACCTTTCTCTGGTCCACCGGAGACAAAGGCAGATGTGAAAATGTTGCTCAAGGAACCTTGAGGATTTCAGCTTCATAGCTCCAAGCTTCAGTTATCTTATTGCCAGCCTCATCAAAAAAGCCATATCTCAGAAACAACTAATCAAAAGATAATCGGAAAAAATATCCCACTCATCAAAGCAACAATTTAAAACAATACATTTCGCAGGGAAAGTGATAACGTGGTATGAGGAAAACCACAGAAAACAAAGCTTCAAGAAATGGAGAGGGACTTCCCTGGCAGAGAAGTGGTTAAGACTCCGTGCTTCCACTGCAGGGAGCTCGGACTCCATCCCTGGTTGGGGGACTAAGATCTCGAATGCCTCCAGGCGTGGCCACAATAAAAACCAAAAAACGAAATGGAAAGAACTGTTATTTTTCTAGCTGGGAAGATTAAAAATGACAAACCTGGCAATCCTTTCCAAAGGTAAATCCAATTTAACGCAGCTCCAATAAAACTCGTAATGGCACGTTTTGGTACTGAAAGTAAATGATCCTCAAGTTCATTTGAAAGAGGAAATTAGCGATAACAAGGATTTTTGTAATAAAAAGGGACTTACCTATAAGATATTAAAATTATAATTACTAAAATTGTTTAGGGCTTATTAATTTTATAATTACTAAAATTGTTTAGGGCTTATTAAGTATAGGAAAAAGATACCAAAAGGATGAAAGGGAATATAAATACATATAAACTTTGACTCAACAATGTGAATTTCTAGGAACTTGTGCTGTGGAAAAGCTCATATGTGTACAGATAGTTGGATACTAAGGATGTGCATTGAGGTGCTATTTGTAATATGTAAAACTGCTAACAACCTTGATAAGGATATGTTACTTGCAGAAAAACAATGAGGGGTAAAAGTCACTAATTTTAAAAGTGAAAAATCTTAAAACGGTAGTAACAATATAAATCCATTGAGAACTCTAATGCCATTTCCTCCTCCCCTCCGAAAAATGCCATGAAGCAACCTTTCCTGATGAGCCATTTTACATAAGGTTACTCTCCTTGTGTCTAAAATGGGCCCCCAGAAAAGGAAGAGGGCATTAATGATCAAGATCTGGAATCATCTCCCTTGGCAATGTCGCACTGTCTGGAGTTGTCTGTCTGGGGCTGCTTGGTCAATTCTGCTGAGCTGGGTTCCCGAGGCCCTTCCACAACGACCTCCACCCGGAGCCCACCCCTTTGCCGCACCTTCTTTAGCTGGAAGCAGTCGGAGACACGAGCGGGCGGCTCCACCCTCAGAGCCGAGGAAAGAAAACCAACTCGGTCCTGAGCTCCAGGAAATGGGACCGTGGGTCACCCCCACCTCCCACTGCGGCTCTCCCCTCACTGCCCAGGAATCTGGTTACGCCCTTCAGCCCCGCCGCCTCCGGGGACCGCGCGCGCCCCGGGACGACTGCTAGACTCACCCTTGTCCCTCCTGAGGGCGTCCAGTCGGTCCTGTGCACAGTTCCAGGCAGACACCTCGGCTTCTCTTCTCGGACGACTGCCTTCCTCCCGGGCGAGAAGTCTGCGAACGCGAGACCCTGGGGGAAGTGCCGAGTCCCCGCGCCTCCTGCCCTCGGTGCCCGTGCCGCGCGCCCTGCGCTCCGCTGGCGGAGCGGGACTCACCCGACGCCGGCTGCCACCGGCCGGATGTGTCCCTTCGAAGTCAAGCGACGTTCGGCTCACGGCCCCTGAGCCCGGCCCTCCACGTGTCCCCTAATCAGCTTTATCGGCGGCTGTTTTTGCCCTGAGCCGGCTAAAGGACTGGGTGTCGGGACAGGGAAGTCTGGCCCGCCTTCTCGGAGCTTTCACAGGGCTCTTGTAGCCAAACCCCAGGCTCAGGGTGCATTGGTTCCCTAGAACCTCTTTCCATCTGGCTCAGAGCGAAGGATCCTTCCTTCCTCCTGGTATTCTCCCCTTGCCCTTTCCACACTCCCCCACCTTCCCCAAATTTCTCAGTAATTATTTACAGAGTACTCCTGGGGCCAGAGATTCAGAAAAGAATAAGGTCCCAGGAAACTATTATAACCAGGACACAGTATGGGAAAGATTAGATGAGCAAAAAACAGAGCTAGAGAGAAGGTGCTTGTGTCTGCTTCTCGGTGCTTGAAAATGTTGGGGTTGGGGGAAGGGAGTGAAGGAAGAGACACACTTAAGCTGGGGTGGGGGGTTCGGCGGAAATCAACTTCCTCCTTTAAGGTCACTGCAGAGCTTTCTCTTTTGGTGCAAGTCATGTTTTATTACAGTTAGCTGTGTCCCCAGCTAGAAAGTCTGAGGAATGACATTCATTAACTCATCAGGCTGTTTCCTCTAAAAGGACAGAATTGGATTGTATGAGAAGACTTTTTGGATAGGGAAGACCTGGGTAGAGGACGTCTGGGGTGTTTATTCATTTATATTCTCCTGCTATTTTCTCCACCTACTGCATTATCAGTTTTCTTCTTAGCTCAGGTTCCCTAGTAGCAGAGTCCAAAAAAGAGAATCAGGTACATTGTGATTTATTGAAGGAAGGCTCTCAGGATAGAGGGTAGGATAGGGCAGGGGGAGAAAATAGCTAAGCAAGGATGCGGTCTCAGTGCAGACTAGC